TTTTTGGAGTTTGTTTTAACAAAATATTCAGATCTATTAACAATTTTTTTTCAGTGTTTAAAAAAAAACAATTCAGCTTACCTATTTGTTTAAATAAAATTAAATCACAAATGGAAATAGAGATTAGATAAAATAACATCGGTTTCGCCATATTGTTTGCCCAAACCGGTCAATTTTTCGGAACGCTTTTTAATCAGTTATTTCCAGTAAATATTACAGATCCGTGGTTCAAACTCATTCTACCCTTCCGTGCATTTCAAAGAAGTAATTCACAAAGAATTTCACTTTAATTTTACATTCTCATGGAATTCTTCGTCGACGAAAAATAAATTAACCTCAACTGTTTCGGTGGATAGATTTTATTTTATAAATTAAAGCCGTTCCATATAATTTATAGTCGGTGGGTGACATCTGGAGAAACTAGGTCAACAAAATCAGATATGTGTCGAAAATGACAAAGCTATCTATTCTTTGTCATTGTGTTTGTACAATTTGATTTACACTCACGAATGCATTTAAATGGATTTTCTGGAAATTTATGTGTTTTGTTGTTTATAGACCTTATAAGATAATAAAAATCAATATACAATACGGTCATTCTAAGTTTACCGTGAATATATATAACCAAATCTTTGGGTATTGTAAAAGACATTGAATAATGAACAAAATGGACTTGAATAATTAAGAAAAACATTATTTATTTTTAAGGCAAATAATACATAAAAAGAAGAAAAGTATGTAAAAGATAGAAGAAATAGATATTGATAAAAACTTAAGAGTACAGCAACGCATAGATAAAATAAAATAATGTGTCTATTAGAATATTTTATATTGACTAACAACAACATTGATATATTACATTTTAGGCTTAGGTTAGACCCACATCAATATTTTATAATAATATTTTATTAATACTCTCCTTAATTCACCCCTTACTAGTAAATTTTAATCCCTGCAGCTACTAGTCTATAGAACAATAAAATCTTGACTATAAAACATTTTCAATAGTAATAAAAGTGTTTTACAATTCAAATAAAAATTATTAGTTATATAGTTTTGTAATTTTTATTTTAATATAGAAAATCATACCTGTTAGCAGGTAAACAAATTTTTGTGTGATTACTCATTGTAATATAATGTAAAGAACATTGGCAGTCAAGAGCGGGGGGTGCAGGGAACTGATGACGGTAGTAACGAACCGTCGTCTGCATTCTTCCAGGCAAAACGAAATGGGTCGCCTTGAGTGCTATAGTGAAATCAAGCTGTTGGTTGATGCTCACGCATTGTTCTATTTGACTTAATTATTAATAATTGCTATTATACCAATATAAAAATATTAAAAAATATTCGAACAAGACAATTTTTTAATAATATATTTTTTAATTATTGCTTTCTTCGCTACTGCTGATATATCTTGGCTCAGGTTCATTATTAACGAGATAAAATTTGCTTACGATTGACGTTTCCATTTTGTTACACTTATGCTGTACAGGCTGCCGGTTATTTCTAACTAGAGGTAGTAATAGTGAACGGGATAATTATGCATGCTCACTAATCTTCTAGGGAATCATTATCATCCAATAATGAGTGGAAGAACATCCATCCTATCAAATAACACTCCAACTTTGTATTATTTCTTCGGAGAGTTGAACTGTTCTCAGGTAAATATCAGAAATTGCTTTTTCTAAAGCTATAACGTACATTTTTAGCAGCTCAAATGACTAGAGTTTAAATTCGTCTTACCATATCTAAACGAATAAAAAAAAGGTTAAACATTATTTAACGCTGATATAAGCTCTAGAGTCTAGAGAAATCAAAATGATACTTATCCCAACTGACAGTCAAATTGGCTTCCCTAATACGTCTAAAAACTTCCTCTAAAATAACCAAATGCTCTTTGGTCTGCATAATGCCCCTGCGACGTGGCAACGCCTTATCGATCAAGTTCTTGGACCCGAGCTGAAAACAAACGTTTTCACCTGTCTAGACGATAAAGTAATCATTACTCAGACATTAGAGGAACGTTTGGTTATTGTAAAAGAAGTTTTTGGACGTTTTACTGTAAGAGTAAGTATTTAGGTTATGTTATAGATGTGACTAGACTTCATGACGTTACTTCGATGTATGTAAAAGATATGCGTGGTGAGAGAAGAACTTTCTCGTGGTAATGCAGGGTTATTCACGATTTCACTAGATTAATTTCTCCAACTATTTATTGCGTAAAGGTAGGAAGTTTGTTTGGACACCAGAGTGTAATGTGTCGTTTGATAAAATTAAGAATTATTTGGTAAAGGTATTAAGTTGTCCAGATTATGATTTTCCATTTGAAGTTCATTACGATGCTGGTGGGTATGGAGTCGATAGTTAAGTAATAAGGAAAGGGTTTATTCTATAACAGAGCGATAACATTTAGTTGTCTTTGGGCAGTAAAGAAACTGATACCGTATTTAGAGGTTGTCCCATTTACAGTTATCACTGATTGTTATTCCCTGATATGGTTACAAAAACTAAAAGACCCTACCGGTCGTCTGGCCAGATGGAGTGACAAACTCCAAAAATACGATTGTTCATCGCAAGGGTAAGGATCATGTCGTGCCGGATACTTTGTCTAGAGCTATCCTGGATGTTGAGTTAGTGACGTTTTAGTTGTCAAAGATAATTGGTATAATGGTATAATAGGTAAGATACTGAAACACCCTATTAGGTACCCACAGTGACGAGTTATTTATGGCAAGTTGTTCAAACATATAAGAACCAATTATACATCTTTAGGTGACGTTGCTGATGATTGTAAAGACAACTGCATTTTTTTACCTTTAGATGGACATATGGGTTTTTTGAAAACTTTTAAAAGAATTAGTGAGAGTTTTTATTGGCCCAAACTTATGCAGCGCATAAGGTTGACCAGAGTGGTCCTAAAGGACATATGACAACTCAATCCAGAGCTACTCGTTCATTGGAAATTATTTCTACCGACCTAGTAGATCCATTACCTTGGTAATAGGTTTATTTTAGTTGTCGTCAATCTATTAAGTAACTTTATGGTTTCTTATCCTTTAAGATCTTCTACTATCTAAACGAATTGAAGAGGGGGTATTGGTACACCGCGTTTGTGGCTTTGCGACAAAGGTTCATAGTTAACTTCCGTGTGTTCTCTTCTTTAATGAAGGGATATGAAGTTTCGGTAAGGTTCATTACCCATTATCATCTTCAGGGGAATCCTACTGAAAAGTATAGTAGAACTTTAAAAACCCTATTGTCGATGGATGTTTTTGATAATCACCGAAAGTGGCACGTTGATTTGGCAGAAGTGATTTACGCTAGGAGTACTTCTTTTAAAGAATCCACTCTTAATTTTGAAAGAGTAGTACGTTTTTCATGAAAGACAAACTGATAGATTGTTCTGCTGACATGTATATTAATGTTGGGAATGTTGAAAATAATCAGGTATTTAATGATTTGTTTAAAGATGTCAGGAACGTCTAGATAAGGCTTCACAGAAGGGATTAAACATTTTTTTCATATTTAAGCATACGTTATCATTTGTTGTTACGTCAGTAAAGAATTTATTAACAACTATAAAATATTTAGGATAAGTAGGATATTTCCGTTATTCAATTTCGATTGAACTTTATAAATTGGATGTTTTAAACCCTAACATGGATTAGTTTAGTATTAATATATACATACATTTTTACATTAACATACATTTATATCAAATTTAATTACTGTGTTTCGACCAAAGTTGTTTTAAAGGTAATAGATTCTTTTCTACATCAACTTTGTTAGCAGCTGTTGTAGACACTTTATTGACCACCGTACTGTGAAAACTGGCATTATCCATAATAATTGTAGAAGGTTCTTCTAAATTCAATTAAAGCTGATGTTCAAACCAATGCAAAAATAAAAATAATTCTCTATTTATTTCACCATGGTAATCACCATCCCGTGTCTTAGAAGAAAATATCAACTGTGTTTAAGAAACAAATCCAGAAGATGTACCTGCAAGCAGTACTATATACCCACAATAAACAAATAAAACATACCAAATATTTTACAATATGCCATCACAATCTTTAGTGATAATAATTTTTCGGTAGGTACTGCTGGGTAGTTATATCGTTAATTGTTATTTTACATATTATGGTAATTGTTTATTTAACCTATGATGGTTAATAAGTATCAAACTGAAATAGGTTTCATTCTTTAAAAATTTACTAAATATACAGGCCTTTGGTTAGAAATTTAGAATGGTTTAAAATGGTAGTTTCGATGCAAATGGATCCTTATTCATCTTATTGCAACCAGCTTTGTTTAAACCAAGGGCCTATTATCTATAACAAAGAAATATCAATAATATTCTATTGATCACTGTATATAGAACAATATCATCTTCATAGTGTAACAATATTCATATTTTGTTAATAATTCCATACGAATTTTAATTTATCGGAAAATAGGTTACCTTTGACACTAGTATATCCATCTGTTTGAGCAGAATTATTATTGTCGGGATTCCAGTATCAGTTGTTTATAATTACACGAGTAATCAGATTAATGTCTTAATAAATTATTTCATCCAAACAGTGTGATTGACGGTAGTAGTTAGTATTGGAGGAATCAGGATTCGTACATCATAAATTATATGAAATTACCAATTATTTATAGTTACAATGGTGTATACATGAATTGTATAAACGATGTTGATTGTTGGAAGTAAGGATAAAATAACTTACACATACTACAAGTGTTTATCTTTTTTAATCTATCGATTTTTTTAGTTCTCGGCTGTCTCTTGGAAGTGACTTCTACTCAAATTTATATCCTTAAAAGCATCTTCAAATTGAGTCAATAATACTTGAAAATTGTTGTGTAAAAGTGTTCATTGTTTTTCCCAAACAATCACTTATTTCTTTCTCAATTGTTCTAGAAGTGAACAAAAACGATAGCTTTATTTAAAATTATATCTTCTATAAAATCCTATTTTTTTTTTATTTTAGGTACTGTTTTTTACAAATGTGAAGAAGATGGATCATGGTACTTCCACGAACCGTTTAACAGAACATGGGTTAATTACACTACTTGTGTTAATACTGATGATTTGTCCGTAAGTGAGATATTTCAGTTTCAATATTAAACTAAAATTCTACAATTTTTAACTAAAGTCTATTCCAATCCGAGATTCAGTAAATGTACATAAAAGCACGCGAATGTAATTTTTGACCAGGACCGCAATGAGGACAACATTTTATTGCAATGTAGTTTTAATGTATTTAAATTAAGAATTTTAAAGATATAAACTTTCAATACCCTAATTCCAACGAAAATTGGCAGAAAATATATTAAAAATATAGAAAGTGACACTTAGAGCGGTATTTATGAAGCCATCATACACATTTTTTTAATTTTAAACAAATATTTAAAAAAAGTTAGGACAGGTTGGAATAGCATTTTCTATTGTCGACGTGAAAAAAACAAATATTTATATTGAGTGAAGATTATTGTATTTACTGTTGCCATTCTAGTTCGTCAGAAGACGTGTCACTCTCATTCACATTTATAACAAATTGTTGCTCGATAATATTGTATAATTTCTACATTTTTTGCACCACTTTTTTCTGCACGTGATCAATGCATTTCTTCCTCTTTTCTGACGTGATGGTAGCTATCGCATTATGAAAGATGTTTTTTATGTCAGCAAATTTAAATGTACTATTATGATCCGCAACAAAAATTTTTATGTTAGCCCAAATTAACTCAATGGGATTAAGCTCGCAGTGATATGGTGGTAGCCTTAAAACAATTTTATTTTGAGCTTTAGCCATTTTATCGATGATATATTTATCATATTTTTTTCTGTGCTCCTTAGCTATTGCTAAAAGTTGCACTTTAAGTAATGTTTCATCAAATTGTATACTTTTAGCGTTCTAAACTAGCGTTCAGCCAGTCTTGAATATCAGATTTCCTTGATGCAGTAGTTGGAATTTTTTCCAGTTTCCTAGAATGATACGGGTCATTGTCTAATACAACAATACAGTTATCGTTCAGTTTCGACAAAATATTTTCAAACCACTTTTCAAAAGATTTTCCGTCCATTTCCTTGTGGTAATCTCCGGTTTAAAACTTGGCAGGTACAGAGCATCATTGATGTCTTTAAGCCCTTATCAATAGTAGGGAATTCGTTTTAAAAAAAATATTGATGCACTATTCTTCTGATTGCATTTCTATCAAAGTCATCCACCAAATCTACCAATTTTTTTACAATTTTGGTTGGTTTTTGACGCCGAAAATGTATGGTTAGTGGTATATTGTTTGATAATTTTGTAGACGCTGCGACCACACACTCCTGTTTTTTTTTCCTGGGCTCGTCTGACTATGTGTCTCCAAATAACACTGAAGCCTATTGGCTTATTGTGTTTTACCCCATGTTAGTTCATAGCACCCACTCTATCACCTTTGTACCTTGTACAAGTTTGTACATTGTACAAGTTTGTACAGATCCTTGGGTGAGTGGGTTCTATACGTTGTTGGATCAACCTGGGGTTGTCCAAAAAGAGCCTGTCTTTTGCGATCTAGAGCTTCGCATTCGCACAGTGTTTGGCCGTTTCTGGTTTCTTGTGACATAGTCGGCACATGAGTTCCCCATTGTACATGCCAATTTTGTTCAAGTGTCCCTTTACTGGGGCGTGCCCAGTCATGAACCCTGTTATCACTTTCAACTGGTTCCTATTCATTAAGAGTAGTTCTCCAGTTCTTTTGGGATATGGTCTGCCTATGAAGGCTTTTCCATGTGCCTGTTTTGGGGTGCTTCTCCAATAGTTGATATGTTGTTCCCAAATCCAGTCATTTATAAAACCCCGGACTGTACTTTTTGGTACTCCTGGGTCTGTGTCTGGTTCCGGTGTTTCTTCTGACCCTCTTTTTGCAAGTTCGTCAGCCTTTTCGTTGCCTTCGACCCCTTTGTGACCTGGCACCCAAAATAGTTTTACTCTATTTCGGTCTGCCAGTGTTCTTAGTTCTTCGATGCATTCCCATACCAGCCTCGACGTAACTTTCTGACTCGATATGGCCTTAAGTGCCGCTTGGCTGTCTGACATTATTTAAATATGCTGATTTTCGACAGCTCTTTCATTGTTCGTTTTTGCACATTGCAAAATTGCGTATACCTCGGTCTGAAATACCGAGGAATGTATTCCTATAACATAGCTATGGTTAGTATCAGGGTTTTTGGAGAATACTCCTGCCCCAGTGCCTTCCGCAGTCTTAGACCCGTCTGTATACCGAGTTTGTTCCTGTCGTTGGGCATTGGGCTCCCTTATGGTGATCTCCGCTCTTTCCTGTATTAAAACCTCAAAGGGAGTATTAAAAGAGTACCTCTTGGTTATATGGTCTGATCTCATGTCTCCTGTTTTACTTGCCACTTTGTTTACAATTTTATCTTTAAGTAATGTTGGATTTTCTTGAGTCCCATGCTTATAAACGTTTAAAATCATTTCGTTGCTTTTTATGTCGAAATGAGCATTTTTCGACCTTTGCCTAGGAGGAGACAAATACATTTCTGTAGACTCATCAGCTGTATCCGTAATAGACATGTTCAAGTGTCCTGGATATTTTATTTAATATACCAAACAAATATTTAAACAATACACAAAAAGTTTCGGGATATGCCCGAGGATCAAACATACTTCGAAAGTATTTAAATAAAACACAATATTCAAACTACAAGGTAACGGTATTTAAAAAGATTCAATTCAAACAACACATTTAACGACGATGCACTTCGCACTGAATCTGAGTACGCATATGCATCAAAAGAGTAAAGAGCAGCTCTAGCAGTTTATGGCCGTTTGACCAATAGCATTGCACATTCCAGCAAGCCACGAGGCGATCACGCGCTGCTCATTGTTTACATGCGCTGAATCTCGAATTGAAATAGACTTTTATAACTTCTTTATGTTTTATTTTATTTTTACGAATTTTCAACCAGTTTGTAGATACATTTTATGTAATTATTGTAATAAGCAACATTTTTCGTTTAGGCAATATTGTACAGGGGTAAATCAAAATGATGCTTTCTGTTTTCAAATACAAAACACCTTGTAACAAAATTTAGGCGGATAATTTTATTTCCATGCTGTTTGGTGTAATCTCAGATGTATTCCAAATATTTTGTTTTTTGATTCATCCCATTATCTCATTTCTTCTGTGAACAGAATTTTTTTTAAAACGCTGTTAATTTTTGCTGCAAAAACAACATTTTGATATACCCTGTATAATATTTTCTAATCGAAAAATGTTATTTATTACGAAAATATAAAAAAATTTAATAAATGTATCCACGAACTGGTAAAAAATTCATAAAAATAGAATAAAACAAAAAAAGTTATAAAACATCAAACTTTTACGGTAGCAGAAGTTTGTACCGGGGAGTGTTTTATTCCGTTTTTCACCTAAACTTTGTGTGTTTATAAATTAATCATCAGCTGCCACCGTTTTTATTTTACTTTTTTAAATTACTAGCTTTGTTAACAGCGGAGAATAATAACTGCCATACGTCAGTCCTTCCCATTCATCATTATAACCACTACAATTTAAGTATACAAAGTTTATTGCTCTCTGCTGTTAGCGAAAACAGTATTATAATGAAAAGCTATTTACCAAAAAAGTTTCTAAAGTAGACCATGGTAGACAAAAAGAGAGATACAAGTCATGTCGATGATAACTACACACGCTAAAATCAAATTAAATCATTGGTAGAAACGAAAGGTAACACAGTACATTCTAACAAAAAAAGAAGAGCACTAGTGGAAAAATCAATAAAACAACGATCGCAAAACGTGGAATAATAACAACAACCAGAGATACACCAAAACAAAGCTGCAACAGCAAAAAAGAAAGTTTAAAAAGCGAAAAAAGGTGATAAGAGAACTGGTTCTTTAAAAATTTCCACATCAACTGCTTCAGATATCAAAGTAACAGAACATTGTCACCATCGGCTAATAATGATGAGCCCGTCTGGCAGTGGCGTGCGGTGACATTTTTGGCGACAAATGACATTTGAGTAGAGATGCTTGTGTCAAAATAACGAAAACGGCTCCAATCGTTACATATTATTATAGGATTTGAAATTTTTTAATGACTTGTATAATCCAGCGCCGCGATTCTAGTAAGCATATATAATTCAATATAAAGTGAATCAAAAAAGCCTGACGCGGCCTTGCACGATACTGATGCTGTCAGCCATAAATGACTGACAACACAAAATTATGCCTAACACTGCGTCAGTTTTATATGACAACAAAAAATTAGTGTGTCGGCAATCAGAGTGTTAAATTTCTTTCTTTTGAAAACTATAACTGGTAGAATAAAGCTTCCAGTTGCGTTCACAGTGCAACAGGTGGTTACTTATTTTTCCTCAAGAACCATATGCACAGCTGCCTTCATTTGGTCCTCTGTGAAAGAACCTTTTTCCGATTTTCGTTGTCTTCCACGATCCATAGTTTTGACCCTAACATGAAAATAAAATGAATAACTCACACGTTGAAAAATTTTGTTCCACAATGAGATACCGTCTCATTGTGGAACAAAACCAACTGTCTCATTGTGGAACTTTTTCGATATTATTTTAAGAAGTTGGCAAACATTTTTCGATCGTTTTGAGCATCTCTAGTTTATACAGAATCCTAACTTAGAAACGCCCAAACAATTTCTGAATTTCAGATTTATTAAAAACCACCGGATTTTATTTAATCACCAATTGAAATATCAACTATAAAAAAATTACTTCAATTTGAGCTATGTAAGTCACTAAATATGCTTAGAATTTTCTAAATTTCGTAAAAATTGGTGGAGCACATGCACAACTGAATATGTTCGTTGGTCATATTTTTTAAACTAAATAGGCGGGAAGTTCAAAAAGTTATGGCGAATGTCTCATTGTGGAACATGTCTCATTATGGAACACTTTCCCCTACGTACTAATGTCTTTGTATTTATTAATACATATACCCTTTTGATCAATTTAGTAGGTCTATTGCTCAATGTTTAATAGATACTTAGACTTAATTAAATAATATATTTAATTATAGTTTCCACTTAACAAAATTAGTGAATCTGTTCACTTGTAAACACTATAAAGTTGTTTTGCTTTGTGTAGCCAGTGTCTTGTAAAGATAAAGTCATTGTAGTGATGTTTAGAGGCCTGACTATGGCTTGTGGGTCTAACGTCTTTCTAATTACACTTGAAGTATCTAATAATGTACATTTTTATTTGTTATAATTTTTAAATTTGCGGTGCAGCTAAAAATTTTTAGATAAAGTTAGTGGCTAAATATTCTCGTTGGTGAAGACCAAATATAAACAAATTATGGAGAGAAGATTTGATTATCCGTCGGTGAACAACAATGGACCTATTGACAAACTCGAGATAAAGTGATTTCTCCCAAGATTTTCGTATAAAATGTCATACATCAACGTAAAAATAGTATTTTTAAAGCCAGTGAGAACTCGCTGACTGTAACGAGATAATTAAGGGTATGGTCCGTTATTATCCGACTACTAACCGCTAGTAACCAGGATTTTTTGACAGCGGTTCAAAAAAAAAATAATTTCTTGGTTCCTTTTAGACCACGCCCGAGATTTATGTCCACATACTTTGATTTTCTTTTACTATACGGAGAATGGTCGCACTGCGCAGCTTTCTGAGTGCCTTTTAAAAGGAGATAGAAAACTCCGCCATTTTGAACCCTTATTACGTGTTGCCTACATCTTGGCGCAATATTTTTAATAGGTGCGTTTTAATCATCCGCTTCTGCTTCGGAATTGTCGGTTTTCTTGTTTTAATCTGACAGGTTAGAACGACTGAACCGACAATTCCGGAAACAGAAGCGGATGATTAAAACGCACCTGATATTTTGCTTGATGCTGTCAGTGTCAGTGAATATTATTTTTGGAGTCACAGTTTATTGCTAAAGAATCAGTTAGCTCACTCGGACCAGTTGAAAGTTCCAAAATAACATCCACTCCAGGGATAAAAATTCAGGATACGCAGAAGACTGCTGTTTTATTATAGGCGGTTGTCATATATTGTATTATCCGAGTTGCACAGTGTATAAACTGAAACATTGAGATCAAAAGTGCCGACGCAGAGTGAGCGATCCGATTCTTTAGCTGTAAACTGTGTCACAGGGTTCAAAATGGCCGCGCCCTATGTTGGGCATGTCGGACCTCTCTCTTGCCTCGTATAGTAATCAAAGTATGTGTTTATGTCACTTTTGTGACAGATTGATATTCAACTTAATAGTAACCGTAAAAATATAGCGGTTAGTGAATTGACGTTCGAATCACAATTTTCCGGTAACCGCGTCCCTAATTAACCGATTTTTCAGGAATGTCAAGCAGAGCGGTTAGTTTTGGACCGAATGACCAATATTTTGGTTAATAAAGGACCATACCCTTAAAGGTAGCTTCAAAAATACTGTTTTTTCGTTGACGTATGACCTTTCTCAAGAAAATCTTGGGAGAAATGAATTCTCTCAAGTTTGTAAATAGCTCCTCTAGCTTGTGATTAGACAAACATGAGTTTTCCATGGTCTACTTAAGAAACATTTTTTGTGGATCACCCTTTAATGTCTTAATTTTAATTAATTAAAACTTTTCTGTATTGCAGTTTCGCACCATTGTGATAATCATTCACTCAGTGGGCTACAGCATCTCCTTGGTGGCCCTGCTGATTTCGTTGGCGCTTCTATTCCACTTCAAGTAAGCGGTTTTTATTTTCTTTTAAATTATTATGACTTAATGTTGAAATACTATTGATAAAACCAACAACTAAAGCAGCAGCAAACGTAAAATTAATTCATTCTCCCTTTACGTAAAATGATGTCCCTATATATAGTTAACAAAACTTTAAGTTTAAAAAAAAATGTACAAAAATGGATTTTTAATTAATTTCAAATAATTATGTAAAACAATGACTTTGCTGATGAGGCACTCTGGGTAATGAACGGTGGGTTTCTATCACATTTCTTTATTATATTCTATAAAAATATTTGTGGTCATTAATAATTTATATACACATCAGATGCTACAGTGTCCAAATTAAGCTAAAAAAAGAAAGGTACCCAACATCAAATTCATTTTTAATGTAGATAAAAACAATGTTATAAAGCACTGATTAAATTAAGGATATAAAATAGTTTCGGCACGAAATTGCAGACACGTGTAACGTGCTGGTAGTTAGTAGTTGACTCCTGCATAATAACCTCAATTATATACGCATTTCAGCAATCTGTTGTACACTTATAAGGTGCAGTAGTGAATAAAATTTAGCGTGCCTTGAAAGCTATATCGTTTAAAATGCAAATCCGGTAAATTGTAAGTAGTATACTAATTTTAGCGCCACTTCCAGAATAAATTCACTGTTAATTTTCTGTAAATATTTGTATTGTCGCTAAGGCTTAAAGACAACCCGACCTCAAAGTTAAGACACCAGGGAAAGTTTATTGGATTTTTGTAGCGTTGTTTAGGTTGTTTCTGTTATCAACATACGTTCAGGGTTTACCTATTAAAAAAATTTACATGATAACTGTTAAAATACTAATTACTTTGTTAATGATATATTTGAATAAAATACAGAATGATGGATATTTGTATTACGGGGGGGACAATCCATTCTATTGGTATTATTACAAATATCAATCGAAATAAGTATGTGTGTACCACGTCATTATAAACTTATATTACTTTATCTAACAAAAATCGACTTTTAATAACATCTTTGTATAAACCACCACCGATAAGTGAAGAAGAATTTGTTAATAATTTGTGGTCATACCTGGAAGAAACAAAAAACAATTTAAACGTTTTTAAACACTTGATTTTAGGAGACTAATATAAATATTAAACAACAAACTGACCTAGTTTCTACATATTTAGATATATTAGGTGATTATAACTTCGTATCGCTAATAAACAAATATACAAAAGTACAGGGAACATCTGAAAGTTGCTTAGACCATATATTTTATAGTTCTGATGCGTTAAATAAATTTATAGCAGCCACATATGATACCAATATAACAGATCACAAAGCTACAATCGCATATCTTCCAATACAACCTGAGACAACTGAAAAAAAGTAATTTTTCAAGAAGATTAATTATAAAAAGTTACAAGAAAATATTCAGAACCACAGGTGGGAAGACTTTTATAGCACACAATAAAACTTATAAATATATAAATAAAAATACCAAAGTTATTAGAAAATACAAAAAAATCTGTAAAAGGCAACAATGGGTAACCAATATGGTAACAAACATCATCATATTTATAAAAAAGATTTGAAAAATATAGAAAAAAAAGAAGCATATTTAAATTATAGAACATTAACGGATAGGGTTATAAGGAAAGCTAAAAAAGATGTTTGTGCTAAGCAAATAAATGAAAATAAAGAAAATTCAAAAGGTACATGGAAAATTATTAATCAAATATAAAGCAAATCAAAAAACAATGACAATGAAATAAAAGAAATACATACTGATGATGGGCATATAGTAATAGAGGCGAACTATTTAGCTGAAACGTTTAACAAATACTTTACTGCAGTAGGTGTAACTCTTGCAGAAAATATAATCCCTCCTTACACTCCTCAACTTAGGAGAAATATTCAGAAAAATTACATTGTCCCTAGTAAACAAAAAAACAAAAACTTTAATAAGACAATATATTGTAAATGCAGACAGAAAGACTTTGAGAGCATTGATTGGAATATGTGATACACATCGTCTGATTGCAGCAGCGGCTTGGTTGAAGGCTGCTATGTGTGGTTCAGTAGTTCAATGGATTCCTCGAAAGCCTTGGTTTTATTGACTCTTTTCTCAGTTGTGGTTTTAATTTTTAGATTGATTTTACAGGATCGTTGCGAAAATTCATCAAGGACATCAGCTTGTCTAAGAGGGTTTGCAGCTAACGGCCAGTATTTATTGTGTTGCTGACTCGTGCTTGTTCTGTATTTCTTCTTAAAATAGTTTGTCATCTTTAGAACATATGGGTTTCATGCATAAGAAGGTTTTGACTGGGTAGTTTTGACTTCCTTCGTTTTTAGTGAGGAATTTTCGGACAAAAGTGCGTTGAATTTTGCTTTAAATTCTTCCACTTCTTCAAAACTTTCAGAATTCATGTTCAGTTCAGTTATTTGATATTCGAACATTTCATATTCACTTTTCAATTTTTCTAGAGTGGTTTTTAGATGCAAATTCTTTTCATTCGAGAATGATACATTTTCCGCGGTCTCGTAAAGTTCTTTTTTCAAAGAATCGCAGGGAATTTGAAGTTGATCAAAACTGTTCAACAACGAATCGTAATCTTTGTTGTTGTGTTTAATTTCCGTTTTGGTTTCAATAAGTTTTGCTCTAGCATTTTCTAAATCTGATTTTTCTAAATGTTCACCGTCAATTGTGTATACTTGTTGGTTTTCCAAATCATCAAGTTGATCAAAACTTTCTTCGTCTTTCTGCGTAGCTTTCATTTTCGTTTTTGTTTTAGCATTTTCTATAACAGCGTTTTCTAAATTTTCACCCTCCAATGTATCTACTGGAGGTTTCTGCTTTTCCAAATCATTAATTATTTTTTCCAGATCTTCGATTCTTTTATTGGCATTTTCTAATTGGAATTTAAGAAGGATCATGCTGTCTTCCTTCGACTCTGAGATTGTTTGCAAACCGGGATTGTTTTTAAAAGTTTCAAGTTCGTTTATAAGCAGGTCATTATTTTGAGCAATTTCATTACATTCGGTTTCATATTCTTTAATGGTTTGATTCTTGGCTACAATTTCTTGAGTTAGAATGTCAGAATTTTGTATTAATTTTTCAATTTTGTGGTTTTTGTCGACAATAATTGAATTTTTTTCCTCTGTGATCTCTAGAATTCGATTTTCTAGATTTGCTGACTTGCATTTTAGTTCCAAAAGTATTTTTATTATATTTTCTATATGTTTGCATAATTCTACTGCTTCATGGACGCAGTGTTCAAAATCCGATGGTTTTTCGCATTCTTGGAACTTTTTAATATTGACTGTAATAATATTTATATACTTATTGTGTAGTTCGTATAAACTAACTTTATGAGTTTTTTATAAAAATGTATATTGTTATTGTAAATCATAAAGTTATCTAGGAACGTTTAACTTCTTTTCCTCTAGTTCTTCAAATTTATCATATTTTTGTCCTCTTGTCATTTCAGCTGCTCGAGTTATTCTCTTAATACGTTCAATTAAACCTCAGGTTCTTGTTGAATGGTTTCTAATTCATCCTCTAAATCCATATCCATTTTACCACTAGCTTTTACCAGTAATTGTTTTTAAATCATCAATTTCTTTTTTCCAACGCGTTATTTCTTCTTTTTGATAGTTTGGTTCTTTTGGTCTGACAGAGTTTTTAAGTTAATTATTTCTTCTTGCATTGAATTTACATTACTTTGGTGTTTCTTTTCTAAACTTTCGTATTCAAATTTCTAGTCTTTGTTAAGTTTTTCCAATTCTTTTTGATGTTTTTGAGATTCTTTATATTTATTAGTGTAATCGTCTACTTCTTTTTTTAAAGAACTTACTTGCGTTTCGTATGATACTAAAATAACAGCTAGTTTTTGACAGTTATCTTCATATTCTATACTCTTTTGTTTCAAAAAAAAATATATGTTCATTAGCGCTCTTTAATTCTGAGTAAAGTAATTTCTTTGCTTCTTCTAGTATTTTAGTTTTTTCTTCAAAACCATTTGCATTGGTTCTTTTAATGTTTTATATAATTTTTTGGAAGGTCATATTTGAACTTTTAATACCGTGCAATTTTTCAAGTTCATTGTTTATTTTTTTATTAGTATCTGCCAGGTTGTCGAAAACTTCTGCATCTTTAGACTTATTTTTGGTTCCATCTCCTTCTTGTAGCTGCTTTAGTGATTGTACTTCTTTAATCAAAATTACGTTTTCACCTTTTACTTTTACATAGTTTTCGTTAAGTTCGTTCAACTGGACATGTAAGTTGTCTTTTACTCTCATGATATTTTGCAGATGTTCTTGATTATCAGCATCAAGTTGTTCTAACTGCACTAGAAGTTTCAAATGTAGCAATGTTTTTCTTTAGGGTGGGAATTATTTCAATTGGTACTTTTGAATCGCTTTCTTCATTATTATCTCTCCCCCAACCTTCAATCCATGTACCGAAAACGTACATTCATTCTTAGCTAGCTATAAGCTATAAGAAACCGAATAACCAGAAAAAAGGTTGGGCGGAAGTGAAAACAGACCTCTGCGAGGAATTTGAAGAAGGGAACGCACAGCGAAGCATAGAATTGCGATTATTAAACCGCAAACAAAAGAAAAGCGAGCCGATTAGGTCGCTTAACGCTTAACGCAGAGGGATTCCAGAAATTTTTCGAGAACGGTCTGGATCCGGAATTATATGCGGCCTACAGACTCCTCCGCGACAACAACATGACAATATATCTATAATATCTATAATAAAATACAAAATCTTTCACGAGATTAAATAACACATTATATTATTTAGATAATCTAACTTATCCCGTTCTATTGGTACGCCAATGCAATTTATTTAACACTCCGCTGCGATTAACAAATGTGCAGGGCCCTCAGATCTTCCAGTCCTCCAGTATATCCCCTCCCTTTCCTCACACCACACGTTTTTCCACTCCTGGCCTTCAAGTGGACTGATCTTATTAGCATCACAGATATTCTATTTTATAAATGAATAGCTATATATCTGTTATCTCTGGTCTACCCCGAATAACAAGTATTTATATAATTTAATTTTATGTTATTGAAACGTGTATATTTGGCTTAGCTTTATATTTACTTATTTCGTATTTTAGGGAAGACGAACACGCTATAATCTGTGAAATAACTTACAATAATGTTTTCCTTTAAATTCGACTTTTCCTATCCAAACTTAAACAACAGACCGAACTCGTACCGAACTCCATTAAACTCGACCAACATCTCAAATTTAACGAATCCTTTCGTCATAACATGGATCGAGCACGCTGTCCTTTGTAACTTTCTTTTAATGAGTTGCCAAAGTTGTGTGCATTATCTCGAAAGTTTGATAGGACAGTAACGAGAGAGAAATAGATAGATTGAATTAGGGGAAGCACCTGAAGTCATCAATCTTTGTTAGGTGCCATTAATAACATCTGGGAAACTAGCATTAGCGTCACGTGAAATTAAATTGGCAGATTTGTTGAACAGTGATCTATTACACGGAAAATGTTGCGTTTCCATAGAAAATTAGTCAAAATCTATAATTTTTAGTCTCATTTGTATCATACCGTATCATATTACGAGGGGACCTATTTTCAAAGTATGAGAGCATTCATTTCTCTCAAGATTCTCATCAGAAATGTCATACGTCAAAATGGAAACACTGTTTTTAAAGACCTCGAGGATTAAAATTCTTAGGAGAATTTTAATTCTCTCTAAATAAACCGAGTGAAACATTCAGTGAGTTCACACTGGTTTTAAGGCCCTAAAAATACTGTTTTACGATGACATATGACATTTCTCTTGAGAGAAATGAATTATCTCGAGTTTAACCCCCAGGTAGGTCTCCTATATTGTATCTCCCTGTGTTTACGTCACCATCTTAATAAATAAAGTTTTTTATTTTTAAATTCTTGCTTTAATTTTTAACAGTAGCGGATCCAGGATTTAATGAGGTAATGCAATTGTTTCGCTTTTAGTTATAAATAAAAATATATTATTACGGTACACATTTTTTTATATCTATTTGTTACAGGTCCATAAGATGCGCTCGAATCTTGATCCACATGAACTTGTTCGCATCATTCGCCATCAACAACTTTTTATGGTTGTTGTGGTACTATTTAATGTTTGATGAGACTGAACTACTTTTCGCAAATCAGGTGAATATTTACATTTTATATTATTTAAATTAATAATTATCCTAAATGTTTAAATTAGATGTTATAACAATGGCTACGTCTGATAAAATTAATTGATAGAATCTGATTTTGCCAAACGATTTTGACATTTGGCATTGCATATTTTTTGATATTAATGATATTAATTATGATACATAGCTTATATTTTTGTGAATGGTTTTGTGTCACTTGAAATGAAAGTTGATCTTCTAGGAAGTTTCTTGATGCAGTTCTTGAGTTTCCAGCCTAGCTGTTGTCAGTAGGATTTCTATGGGGCCTATTGTGCATAGTTTTAGTTTTTATGACTATTATTATATTCTGACACTTATTGTTGTACATTAGGGTGCTTCAAACAATTTTTTTTTCGTTCTTACCCTCTAAAATGTTTCTATTTAATATAAAAAAAATCTCACCAAATATGGACGTTCAAGCTCATCTCTAAGAGGTCACTGTTTTTATTTTAGTTTCCCATTTAATTAACATGGGAAAAAATAATTTTATGTTTGGAATTTTATACCTCTGTATCAAAGTAATTTATGACAATGACCATAGCAGTTTCTTATATAAAATGCTCTACAAAAAAGATCTCTTATGATTTTTCGATAAATTGTTTTCTTCTAGCAAAATTTCGTAATTTTTTTTTATTATTTTAAATTCCAAACATAACATTATTTTTTCACATTTTAATTAAATGGGAAACTAAAATAAAAACAGCGACCTCTTAGAGATGAGCCATATTTGGTGAGGATTTTTTTTATATTAAATAGAAAAATTTGAGAGGGTAAAGCACCCTTTTGTACATACCATGTATAGTCTAAATATATTTACGTTTATGTGAATCAAACGTTACTTGAGGTAGCTCTTTAATTTCCTTCAGAATACTTAAGAGGAAATTCTTTAAGTTCCAATTTGAGGTCTGCTTTAATGACTTAGTCGTAGTTATAATATTTGACACATTCGAATTTCAATTTATAAACGCATTCTATTTCTATACATGAACGTATGTCATTAAAACAGGGAACATTTGGGTCTATATCTAATCCAGGGAGATGGAAAGGGATGAACATGTCACACAGGTTTATCATCGTACTGACTAAATGGTAGAATGGCACCCCAAGTCGTAGCTTATTTTAAACTAGTAATAGGGTTAGGAACGGTAATGTATTTAAACATTTTTGAGCTCCTCAATTATTAAATATAAAAAAATTGTAAATTAGAAATGTATTTCATTCAGAAAAATAGTAACTAACCGATATTTCAAAAGAGCTAAAAGCAAAATCCCAATGTTACACATTGAGGGATTAGAAGTTTTTAAAAATCAAACAAGATCGAGGTAGAAATGGTATCTACTGCATAGTAATCTAAATTATGATATTCAGTATCGTACATTAGCGAATTTTCAGGTAAAAATTGGGAATTTACACATAGTTTGTGATAAAAAAAATTTATAGAAATAGTAGTTTGTGCAACAAGAGTGGATATGATGGCCATATCGCACGAAGACGAAATTTGAGTACGACGCCGTAGGTCAATCGTCTGAGTACGATGTGGACAATCCACTCGAGTTGTACAGTATATTTTTCTACGACCCAGTAACGAACATTTACAAATTAAAAAAATATTTTAGGTTATTAAGACAAAATAACTAATTTTAAAATAATTTATGACTTTTAATAATTTTTAAAATAAAATGAACAAAAAAAAAATGACCAGTCAGAATGCCTGTGACTCTACAGTTTCTTGTTTTATCCTATCTTTCTAATTTGAAATAAATAAACAATAATAGTACGTATTTTTTTGATCATATTTAAAAAATATATGATTTTTATCGGGAATTGAACCAAGCGCGCGAAATCCAATGTTGAGCCAAAAAGGCCTATGTCAAGTGAGTTATCTAATCAAGTATGTGTATTAATAAAAAAACATTATGTAGTTACTTTTAAATTATAGCAGTTTTTCTATCTGACGATCATAATATGTATTTAGGAAATCATCAGACAGAGGCAACAAAAATTACAAATTTAGGAGCGTCTGACAGTCCTTTAGAAGTGGCCTAGATATTTGACAATTTGCTTACCTCATCTGTGACTTTCAAAGAGATGATATATACATTTTCGGTAGCGGATATAATCGTTTTTTCTAAGTATTTCCCATTTTAAACTTCAATGTATTCATTCAAGACCTACTAAATCTATACTGACATATTTCCTTAATCGGTATTTCCAAGCTTTCACCATATATATTGGAAAATTAAAAACCTTTAAAAAACGTAATAGCTTTCTGTTTAAAATACTTGTACAAAAAACTAAATAGACAATTTAAATTATACCTGTTCACAAATCTTGCAAAATTTCTTCTTAAATTCTGTTTTGAAAAGAGATTTATCCTGAACAGAGTTAAACATTTTACTTGTGAAAGTTTTTTAATTGAGTTCTAGGTTTTATTTTCTTCTCTCTTTTTTTCTTTGGATTAGTTTAAGATACAAAGTTTGGTATCGTGCTAATGTTCCGTTGAGAGAGATCTATTTTAGTTTGTGCAAATAGTGTAGAAATTATTCGATATAATCCTGCTTGGTTCTTACAATTGAGCTTTATTTCTTAATCTATATTGATCTTCTCTATAATGGGTTTTCATATTGATTCCAATTACGATAGAAAGTTAATTAAAAATATGAATATTTGGAATTTAATCGTCTTTTTGATTATTTATTATAATTTCTACAAAGAAAAATCCAAATCGAAATGGATATTTTGGTTTCACCACTGCCTTGTCTCAAGCCACCATAGCAAATTCGCGACCATTAGACCCTACACTTTTTTCCTGTTTCGAAACACGCTCGACTAAGTTTATCTAAACCAATTCAATTTCGTTAAAAATGTTTTAAACATTTTTTTCTTTTTTCATTTTAAATTCGTAAGCAACGTAGTGGATTAAAGCAGGAAATCTGTTTCGATGCACGTAAACTTTTCTCATTATCTATGCTTAATTAATAAAACGAACCACTCTATACCGGGATTAAAAAATGCGCGCTACTGTTGATGTTAATTCCGGAAAAGTAAATTTTGATATAAACAAGTTAATCTAATATTATGCATACGAGGAAAGCCCGATGTTTTACAAAAAAAATGTTTATTTCAACATATTTTATTGCAAAAACTTAAATAAATAAAATAAAATTTCTTAAATATAAAAAAAATAAATTATATAAAATAAAAAAGAAGATGTATAATTTTATAAAAGCAACTATATAAATAAATGTAAATTTAAATTTAATATGAATTTTTTGGTAGTTTTAATAATGTGTATTTTCCACCTTTTGCCCTATTGCAAGCAAACAAATTTTGATTTGGATTTTTCTTTGTAGAATGATGATAAATAATCAAAAAGACGATCAGATACAAAACGAAATTATTGAATTAATGTGTTCTAAAGTAAAAAATAATATTTTAAATATGGTTCGCAGTTCCAAATATTATTCAATAATTTGAGACTGTACACCGGATACAAGTGATACAGAGCAAATAAGCCTCGTTTTGCGTTATGTCGTTCTAAATGACATTTCTGAAAAGGCTCAAATACAAGAGATTTTCATACCGTTCAACCCAATATCCGACTCGACAGGGGAAGGGCTATTTGATTTTGTTGTTGGACTCTTTGAAAAATTTTAATTTAGATATTAAAGACATGAGAGGTCAAGGGAATTATAATGGTTCGAATATGCGCAGAAAACATACTGGTTTACAAAAACGTATACTCGATGCTAATCCCAGGGCATTTTTTGCCATGTGCTGCACATAGCTTAAATTTAGCAATAAATGATGCTGCTAAAGTTTCAAATGAAACAGTTAACTTTTTCAATATTGTACAAGAACTTTATGTATTTTTCTCTTCATCCACAAAAAGGTGAGATATTATAAAAAGCATGTCCCAAAGTTAAGTCTAAAATCCCTAGTGATACTAGATGGTCAAGTATGATTGATGCTATAAGGCCGCTAAAGTTTCATTTAATTCAAATTTGTGATAGCCTTCTAAAAATGGCAGAAAATGATACTTTTAACATAGAAGCTAGGCATAAAGCAAGTTCAATGCTATTAACTATCCAATCTTTTAAAGTCAATTGTAGTGTAATAATTTGGTATGATATTTTATTCCAGATTGGCATTGTAAGCAAAATGATATTAAAGTGTACCAATCATGGGCGAAGTTATGTCATCAGATCTGGGGGGGCTAAAGCCCCAGCCCTAGTCATATAATATATAATAGTTCTAGAGGTATACTGAAGTTAAGTAAAAAAATTCTGGCGAACCACTAACGAAAATCTACAAATTTAAAAAAATATTTTAGGTTTAGACAAAATAAGCAATTTTAAAATAATTTATGAATTTTAATAATTTATAAAATAAAAAAACATAAAGAAAATTAGCCCCTAGCCCAGATTCGAACCCAGGCTATTCGCGTGGAAGGCAAATGCTCTGTCCTCATCTCCACCGCCACTTTTAGGTTTTTAATTTTAATACTCGTAATTAAATTAGTTTCATACAATTTGATTAAAATTTACTTTTTTTAAATGTGGCCCAACTAAAATTAAAATGCTATTTTTTATCGATTCTAAACAAAAATAAATAATTTTAACGTATATGTAATCTTAATGACTAAAAAATATACCGACAGTTTGTCAGAATTTAAAATTTTAAAAATATTAGTAGTTGGATGTCCAAAATATGAACTGTGATTTGTGGATTTCATTATTTTGCAGTTTTCTCGCTATGTTATGTTATGTTGGGAATGGGGTGTTAATACACTGCGACCTAAAATATCTATTGTGCCCTCTTCTGTCGCTAATGCAGCAAGGAAATGTCTCAATGCCTATAACGACCCTTTTAATTATATCTTCTCAAGGAAGTGTAGGATTTGGAGAGGTTTCAAGTTTCTATTTGATATGCTCCTAGGTATAGTGCCCTTGGATTCTGGCGTGCTACACA